TGTAATTTTTCCTAATTATAATAAAAAATAAAAACCCCAGTGGTGATTAAATACCCCCAAAATAAAGCTCTATCTGTCCCCAAAAAATGGTATAAAATTCATTTCAGTACAGCGTTGCATGACGGAATAAACGTCAGTCAAAGGACTGCAGCGCTGAACACTGAAAAATGGCCTGGCCAGGAAGGGGGTATAAACACCTGGTCTTGAAGTGGTTAAAGCAAGTGTGCATAACATTTTATGTATTGCCCTGTGGCACCACCCCTGGGTCAGTTGAGAGGTAATCAGTCTATTGGGAAGCAGGTACAGCACATGTTCATATTTTAGGGGTCATTCAGGTATATCTGCTGCGTTGCAGTGTTTTAATAAATCACATCATTGGGAGAACTACACTTCCAATGAAAAATATATGTACTGCAGCACTTAATTAGGAGCACACATGCACTGACAGTTTTCTCCTAGTCCCCCTGCAAAGTCCCACATATACCTGTTGATCCTGCCAGTGAAGTCCACTTAATGCAGCTTCCCTTGATGGAGTGGTAACATTGCTGCACTGCTCCTGAATTCAGAGCAGAGTTGACACTCTCTTGTAGGCTGTGTTACTATATATCCCAATGCAATGGGATGAAAAGATGTAGCAAGGGATGAGACTATTTGCAGTGACTCAAGCCTGTCAATCAGCACCTGACCACAACTAGTCCTGCCCACTACTCTCTGGATTGACAGTACTGCCTCTGCTCCTGAAACCCTCCCTCTATGAGCTGCAGTGTCTTGGAGAGGGAGCATGCAAGACACAAATGGAGAAAGATTTTACCCCCAAATCTTTTTGTTTACTTTATAAGGCTTGAACGTCACATAGTAGCTGGGCTTGGGACTTGTACAGATTGTCAAACAGGAGCCTTTAGTTATACTTTAAAGTCCCACTCCAGGCTGTTGTTAAATGTATTCATTCAGTGGTGTCTCGCAGCACTGAATAGGTGAAATGCTCCACTTGGCTGGGGGACAACATTATGGATATCAGAGGACATGTGACTTACGGCTGTAGCCAAACAGAGATAACACCGCAAACACCAGACTTATAGCCAGAACAGGCGATCTTTTCTGCAGGATGTCCGAGATGAGCCCCTGGATTGTTCCTCCTGTGATAAGACACAAGCCACCAATCAGAACAGAAATTACCAATACACTTACAGACCATGCTGTGCAAATGTTTGAATACTTGTGCCAGGTAAGTGACATCGAGTACTAAAGCCACTAAATCAACAGGACAACCAGGCAACTAGCATTTTCAGAAGGACGGGACATTCTTGGCAGCCTGTATGTTTTCCCTGTACAAGTTTTCTTTAGGATGGGCCTATCTGCTAAGGAAAGGGGGGGCTCTCCTAGAAGATAATCACCATTCTGTCCGATCTAGTCTATATGGCCTTTTAGGCGAGGCAGTTGATAATGCTTCGTGTATGCTCAGCACTAGAGGGAGCCAACACTGGATTTGCATTTGCTCTGCCTCCCCCCTACACAAATGTTGATATAAAGCAGGCGTAGGTAAACTCCGGTCCTCCAGCTGTGGTGCAACTACAAATCCCATATGGCATTGCAAGACTGACAGCCACAGTTTGGATACCACTGATAAAGCATCAGACGGTTTCTGTGAGTTGGCCAACTTGGATCTCCTTATTGGATGAATGTATTATATGCATTTCATATGTATTTAGTTATTTGCCTAGAATTTGGTTTTAAAATCAAGGTGAAAGCATAGGGAAAAAAAATGATGGAAAAAGATGGCACGATCCCTTCCACACTATTATACAGACTAAAAAAAGTCACTCTGTTATTCAGCTGTTATGCAGCAGCCGGTCCACCTCAGCTCAGTGAACGAGACAGAGATTTTATGGGCTGAACAGATGTGGAGTGCCAGCAGGGTGACTGATTCAGTATAATTAGGCGGCGGAACTTCCGATATAGCCTGACGACAGACGGCATCAGTGTGGCCCACCCGTGTGATTTTGTTATGACTACCTCCTGAAGACCCTTCACCCATCATCTGTCACCACGCACTGCAGTTTTTTTTATTCTTAAATCCACTAAAACTAAAGCTTTTAAAATTGAGTCTCACAAAAGCAGGATTTTGTTTTTTTGTTTTTTAAAGAAAAAGTAATACAATTATATAAAACAAATTAAATTCCAGGAAACATGTAAAATCAAATTGGATGAGCTACAGCCGACCTTCTGCATACACTTCAACTGTGCCCATGTCAGAATTCTTGTTCAATTTACCTTGATCTGTGAAATCTGCAGCTAGAAAGAGTTATTCACATGTGCAGTGCGTGGATCTTTTATAGGCTAAATCTACCTTTCTGACCATGTTCAATGTTACACCCATATTCAGGGTGTAAAATAAAACATGGTCAGATCAGCCCCCCACTTACCTGAATCGTGGAGGAGTTCTACTCCCTGCAGGCTGTTGTGGATTTCTGTATTCATTCATTCGTGAGGAAAAGTCTTCAAGAGTCACCGCATTACACATACGATCCACTGATCGCAGATACAATGCTTTATGGGCTCCAATGCAAAAAATAAATAAATGCACATTTTTGTTTTTATGATAAAAATGTGCATTAATGTTTTTCAAAAAGGTGGAATTTCTCTTTAAATTTCCCCTTGATCCTGCTTGAAATCCAGATAACGCCTATCTGTGTAGTGAGCTGACCAGGCTGCCTCCGCTGCACTGAAATCCCAAGCACTTTTGTCAGCCCACCTGGTTCACCTCTGCTGGACTACAGAACAAAAGAGGTGGCCATTCTGTAGTCCACACAGTAAAAGTAGACAGGGCTGACAACAGGCTTTTGGATTTCAGTGCAGCAGAGGCAACAGCGCACTACAGTAAGTCAGGAGCTCACTGATTTCTGGCAACAACCGGTATTTTGTGTACTTGTAAATTATTTTAAGGAAGAAAACATTGAGAAATGTGAGTGTATTGCGGAGATGAACTGAAAGTGTTAATTTTTCCCAGACACACTACATTTTACTGCACCTGCAATGATTGGACCCATACCGGTGTTCAGCTCCTACATATGGATTTCATAAAAGAACATTTTCACTGACCTACGATTCCTCCGATGTCATACCAGATAGACAGCTGGTCTGCCTCCGCCTCTTTCCAGCTGAAGTTGATGCTCAGATAGAAGGGAAGCCAAAAGAAGAAGGAGTAATTCACCAGCTTCAGACAGGCGTAGGCCAGGGAATACTGTAAGCACAGGGGGGGGGGGG